GCCCACCGTCACTGTCTCTCCCTCTTTCACCCACAACCAGGCAGACTCCATTTCTTCTCCTGAAGAGGTATTCTGAGCCATTCACACAAACTGGTCTGCTTACAAAAGCCTTGCTGATAAAGCCAGTTTGCTGTTTCTGCATAGTTCTAAGTCAAAACCAAACTAACCACATTACAGTTTAGCGTGGATTAACCCAGGAGCCACTAAGTCCTGCTACCCTGCCAGCTTTTGAGTGCAGCAAAAACTTTGCTTTATTTATCCAACTGTGCTAGTCATATACTTACGTCCGAGTTCACAGAAACTCCTCTGCAAGAGAATCCGTCCCCCACCCTGCCCCACCCGGAGCCTTTCTTTCTCCTCTGGAGCCTCAAATGCCAGCCCCACATGCCAACATTTGTAGCTGGAGCTTTTCTTGGCATGGAGGAAAAACGCTGGGCCACCCTTCATCTGCTTGATTTTGCTGTGTCTGGCTACTGTTAAAGGCACGAGCAGAAGTGGCAAAGGGGTTGGCAACGTTGCCTCTTGTAATCAGCCCGGTGGGTGCTGCGACTGCTGTGTTACATATGCCATATAGAGTCAAAGTAGGAGCAAAAAGTTCAGCATCACAGAACCACCGGCATTATCTTTAATTTTTTGACTCCCTCTGCGGACACCTCGCTTCCAGAGTCCCTGCGCGTTTGCTTTGATGCAGACTCCGATCCAGCCTAACTCCTGGTCAAAGCTGCCAGTTTCCAATGTTGCTTTTGCACTTCTGGACTTTGCAGGCAGCAGAAGCTTACAAGTTGCTGTTTACTCCCAGTTTGGGTTCTGAATTCCTACTTCTCTCTGGAGAGGAAAACCCCACAAAGAAACATTTTGGAGGAAGCCTTGACTCCAAGCTTCCAACCAAGTTTGGGGAAACAGACCGTTCAGCATTTTTTATCAGTTAAAAGGCCTGTAGCAGGCCTGGCCACCAAGGGATGACCCAGGTGATCCATTGGGGTTTTGGGATCCCCAATGGATCAGATTTCTCCTCCCCTTCGCGGAAACTAAAGGAAGGAAGTCCATGAAGCATCAGTTAGATATCAAATCTGAAGCCTCTGGCCTCTGAAATTCTGTTCCTCTGTAATGCTGAAAACATTGGTTTTATAGCAACATCTCTATTGGGAAAATAATCAGAGAGGTAGAACTCAAGAGGTAATCTCACGTGGTGTGTGGGGAGGGAAATGCCAGAATTCATGCCTGTCCCACAACGGAGGAGAATAATTCTCACTCACGGCTGAATGGCATAAAACTATCTTGGATGATCTTGTTAGCAGCAGCAGTTCTGCACTTTCAACATTGGAAATACAAAGCTTTTTTATTTTCATTTTCATTTTTTCATGCTGGCTGGGGAATTCTGGGAGTTGAAGTCCACACATCTGAAAGTTCCTAAGACTGAGAAACACTGGTTTAGAGGAAGGATCTAAGGTGAGGAATGATGGCCTGGATCAGTCACAATCTGGCACCAGGATGGTATGTAAATATTTTAAATGTATTCAAAATACATATGTGCGCTTTGCATAAACAAATTGTTAATATGGCAAAATGGTTAACTATCACAGAAGCCAACAGAATAGAAAGGTTTAATTCCTCCAGCCTTCCGTTGCAGTTGCACACTGAACAAATGTTAAGGCACTCACTGCTCTGGGGGACTCGCGGGTATTTGCATCTTGTATCAGTGAAAGATGTTTTGCCAATTAGGAAGCTATTTTAATGTTATAAGTACATTTTATTATCAATAGCAACTGGGTCAGGACTACAGGCTGAGAGATACTGGGGTGCTGTACTCCCCACAAACGATTTGCAGAAGTGCTTCAAGTTTCATCAAGCACAGTTCCTCCTGCTATTCTCTAAAGCAGCCCAACTTTTTTGCAGGCTACCATGTGACCGGGGTGGGGGGAGAGCTGCTTTATGGAGTCCACTCATTAAAGTTAATGCAAGTCTTAAAAGCAGCACGGTCTTTTTTTCAGGTTTTGAAGGACAACTGGAAAAAGTCTGGCCGCTGTAATGGATAGCAGAGACGGGTTGCACTTGTGCTCCAGAAGGTCCAAAGTGCTTCTTCCGAACCACGTTTCAAGCATCCCCAGTTCCCTTAAAGACCAGGGGCAAAACTGAACTCACTAGCTTGCAAGCTCCCACTGGGGAACAGTTACTACTTTGCCTCTGGTTGACCAACCTTTACTTCCCTGCAAGTCCCATATATTTCTTGTAATCTTGCTCCCCAGGGCAACAGAAAACAGTGCTGGCAGCTTGTGAATGCTTATGAATGCCAAGCATTTGGATTTTCTAGAAATTCATTTTTTCCCCCTCTTCCCTGCTCCCCTACATTAGAATAAGATGTGCATGTTTACCAGCTGGATGGAAACATTTGCATCTGTGTGTGAAGGCTTAACCCTTTCCACAGACAGAATGCTCACATCCCTCACAAACTGAGACTGACGCTCCCCGAAAGACCATTGCTCACCACTGGGAATTTGACTGGATTCATACATCACACTAAGTTATCATGTGGTCAGTTCGGTTAGTGTATCGGGTGAATCCAGTTATTGCAGTTTGGAAATCATAGTTTATAGCTTAGCATCATACGAACCAGCAAACATCCTGCATGCAATGAGCTGGAAACACCCTGCATGCAATGAGATGGAAAGAAAAAAAGAGGGACCAATTCAGCCCCCAGTATCTGTGGAACATTAAGCTCATATGGAGTGGATAAGGGTGGCAGAGCATAAACAGCAGCAGATGCTGAAATAGGGGGAGATGGAGGCTGGAAAGAGCCAGAGACACTTGAGTTTGAAAACTGACTTGGGAGAACACCAAGTGAGAAGCTGTGGCCGTCTCCGTCTCCCAACGGTAAGATCTGGGTAGAATGTTGGATGCTGTATTTAAGTGCAGAAATAAACAGTGATGCTTAAAGTTTGTGAACACTTTTGAATGTTCAATATTTCTGCATGAATAAGACCTAAAATGTGGTATGTTCTCCACACACGTCCTGAGACTAGATAAAGAGAACCCATTTAAGCAAATGAGTCAAAAACGTTATACCTGTTCAGTGATTCATTGAGGAAAATGATCCAAAGCTACCTGTTTGTGTGTGGCAACAATATGTGAACCTTTGCTTTCAGTAACTGGTGTGCAGCAATAAGTGCCACTAAATGTTTCCGGTAACTCTGGATCAGTCCTGCACATCGGCTTGGAGGAATTTTAGCCCATTCCTCCTTACAGAACAGCTTCAACTCAGGGACGTTGTTGGGCTTCCTCACATGGACCGCCAGTTTCAGGTCCTTCCACAACATTTCTGTAGGATTAAGGTCAGGACTTGGACTTGGCTGTTCCAAAACATGAACTCTCTTCTGCTTTAACCATCCTTTGGTCGGACAACTTGTGTGTTTTGGGTCGTTGTCTTGCTGCAGTTTACAGACAGATACCCTGACACCTTCCTATAGAATTTGCTGGTATGATCCAAAAGTCATAGTTCCATCAATAATGGCAAGCTGTCCTGGTCCAGGGGCAGCAAAGCAGGCCCAAACCATGATACTGCTGCTACCATGTTTCACAGACGGGATAAGGTTCTTATGCTGGAATGCAGGGTTTGCCTTTCACCAAACATAATGCTTTTCATTCAAGCCAATGTTCTGTGGTCTCATCCGCCCACAGAACATTCTTCCAATAGCTTTCTGGCTTATCCACATGGTTTTTCACAAACGGTAGATGGGC